AAAAAATCACCTGGGTGTGGTAGCGCATGCCTGTAATTCCGGCTACTCGGAAGGCTGAGGCGGAAGGATCGCCGGAGCCCAGCAGGTTGAGTTGAGGCTGCGGTGGCCGGGAGCGGCCACTGCACTCCAGTCTGGGCGACAGAGTGAGACTCCGACTCAAAAAAAAAAACAAGAATCCATGAAGTTTTAAAATGTCGGATTTCAAAATAGTTTTCCAGAATAAAAGCAATGTGAGCAGCTGGGTGTGGTGGTGGTTCATGCCTGTAATCCCAGCACTTTGGGAGGCGGAAGCAAGAGGATTGCCTGAGCCCAGGTGTTCGAGACCAGCCTGGGCAACATGACGAGACCTTGTCTCTATAATAAATGAAAAAATTAGCTGGGTATGGTGGTGTGCACCTGTAGTTCCAGCTACTTGGAAGGATGAGGCAGAAGGATCACCTGAGCCCAATAGATCGAGGCTATGGTGGCTGTGAGGGTGCCACTGACCTCCAGCCTGGGTGACAAAGTGAGATTCCAACTCAAAAAAAAAAAAGACTTGAATAGGGGAGATGAGGATAAAGATATTTTCCCAGTAACTCTAAAATTAAATTAGAATATTAATTTACTATATTTATTTGTTCTATAGCAGTGATTTTTGGCTGTGCATGATGGCTCACACCTATAATCCCAGCACTTGGGAGGCTAAGGTGGGAGGATCGCTTGAGGCCAGGAGCTTGAGACCAGACTGGGCAACGTAGAGAGATCGTGCCTTACAAAAAAAAAAATTAGCTGGGTGTGATGGCGCATACCTGTAGTCCTGGCTACTTGTGGGGCTGACGCAGGAGAATAACTTGAGTCCAAGAGGTCGAGGCTGCAGTGAGCTGTGATCATGCCACTTGCACTTCAACTTGGGCGACGGAGTGAGACTCTGTCTTTAAAAATAAATGTGATGTTTTTTCACTCTAGAGAGCCCTCAGAGATGCCGTGAGAGGGAGGAGAGGGGCAGGGGCGACCGGGGTGGGCCATACCCAGGCCAACTGCTCTTCACCCGTGTGGCCTGCTTCCCAGCACCCAGCACCCGCCGAGGCAGGATGATGACAGCAGTGAGGGCTGCCTTGATGAGAGCTCGATGCATGAGGGGCACCATCAGGTGAAAGCACGGCGTCAGGAAGGCGGTCCATACACATGGGTGCACACACATATCTGCACACAGTTTGCACGCTCGTGCTCCTGCATCCAATTTGTGGTGAGAGTTAGCAGCTATACAAGAAGGGCAACGATAGAAAGGAAATTTCTAACTCTGCCTTCACCTGCGTAAGCTCAGGAAACCGCTTCGAGCATAAGCTCAGGATAAGCGCTCAGAGGGAACCTGTAACAGTTTGTGTTTGCTTCTGTTTATGGATGAGGGAAGAAGGCCATGGCTCTGTTAAGGAGCCGGAGCAGCAGAAGGACTGGCTGTCTTGGACACGCGGTTTCAGGATTCTCCCCTTTCCTGGGATGTTTTGCGACCCAGCACCAGGACACAGAGGGTGACGTGGAGACTGGATGGTGACTCCTATGTGTGATGATTCTTCTATATTTCCTCTTAGATGTATGGTTGTCCTGAAAGTTTTGCCCCCAGGAGTAGCCTTGCCCAAGATGCTCCTCTGGGCTTGGGTACAAACCCCCTCCCCGAGGTGTGCTTGTTACCGATTCCAGCAAAGTCACATTGTAGGTTTTTTGCCCAATATAAGCAGATTGATAATATTCTGTAATAAAAATCATAAAGTGGTTGGCTAACAGATATGTCCTTGTTAAATGCAAGGCAGTCAGAAACATTTGAGCCAGCATTGCAAAACTGGGGAGATTTCATGTAACAGTTGGGGATTCTGGCCTTGGGAGATCTGGCAGCACTGGGTAGTGTGGCGTGGCTTCAGCTTTCAGATGGCACCTGAGATGTCCTGTTCTCTTTGTTTTTAAAACCCCAATCCATTGCATTCATATGGGAAATGCATCCGGTCTGTTTTGGTTTTCTCTTTTTGGTGATAATGTTTTGTCATTTTAAGATTAGGCACCATTCCTTGAGGCTGTGTTTTCATGTGTAACCCTCTTGATATTGATAGTTGCAGTTGTATTCAGAGGCCAGCGTAGCACTTTTAAAACTGAATAACCCTAAGGACTTCCAAGAACTGAATAAGCAAACTAAAAAGAACATGACCATCGATGGAAAAGAGCTGACCATCAGTCCTGCATATTTACTATGGGATCTGAGTGCCATCAGCCAGGTAAGGAATGCAGAGATTCTTTAACGACTCAAATCAAGGGTTTAGAACGTTATAAATTTATAAGTCGCTATATTAAGAAAGAAGACTTATAGAAAGATGAGCTAATTGGAACTTTTATCATTTTCTAGTCACTGCTGTTGGTCTAATATATATGTAGAGAGTCTAATATATATATATATATATTTATATTTTGAGTTGGAGTCTCACTCCATCGCCCAGGTTGGAGTGCAATGGCATGTTCATGGCCACCCTAGTGTCAACATGCTGGGCTCCGGTGATTCTTCTGCCTCAGCCTTCCAAGTAGTGGGAACTATAGTCCCGTGCTACCACGCCTGACTACTTTTATTTATTGTAGAGATGAGGTCTCACCAGGTTACCTGGGCTGGTCTTGAACTTGCAGGCTCAAGTAATCCACTCTCCTCTGCCTCCCATAGTGCTGGAATTATAGGCTGAACCACTGAGCCCTGCTGCTAGTTGGTCTAATATTAATTGAAGTGACCTAAGTCAGATCCAGGAAACTTTTCTATAAAGTATGTTAAAAAACTGCTGTTGGAGTCTCACTCTGTTGCCCAGACTGGAGTGTAGTGGCCGCTTCTGGCCACCGCAGCCTCGACCTGCTGGGCTCCGGGGATCCTTCCACCTCAGCCTTCCAAGTAGCCGAAATTACAGGCACGCGCTACCATGTCCGGCTGATTTTTTGATTTATTGTAGAGATGAGGTCTCGCTGCCCAGGCGAGTCTCGAACCCACGGGCTCAGGTAATCCACTCACCTCAGCCTCCCAAAGGCGTGGGATTACAGACTGAGCCACCGAGCCCGACTGTTTTTGTTTTTTAAAAATATACCGAGTCTTCTGCATTTTTTGTAATGTTTAAAATTAGGACTCCATCATTAAAAGTCTGCCAGAACACTGAGAGCAGACAGGGCAGAGGGGAAGCTGAGGAGGAGGTGTGTGACTTGAGGGATGTTTCCCATCTTCATGTGCCAGATGTTTTTCTCAGTCCAAGCAGGATGAAGACATTTCTGCGAGTCGTTTTGAAGACAATGAGGAGCTGAGATACTCACTGAGATCCATTGAGAGACACGCGCCGTGGATTCGGAATATTTTCATTGTCACCAATGGCCAGATCCCATCCTGGCTGAACCTTGACAACCCTCGAGTGACAATAGTGACACACCAGGTAGTGACTTTTGCCCATTTTACAGGCTGTGGCTTCCCATTCTGTTCTTCTGTTATGGTACCGCAGTTGCCGCGATTCCCTCCCCTCTCCCTTCTCACCTCCACAGTCACCTTTCTTTAACCCTCCAGTCTCTTCCTTTCCTTCCTTCCAAAGCCCACACCTGACCAGCTCTCATCATACTCCTTCCCCTTGTCTTTTGTGTGGTGAAAGGACATCTTCCGGAATCTGAGCCACTTGCCCACCTTCAGTTCACCTGCCATTGAGAGTCACATTCATCGCATCGAAGGGCTGTCCCAGAAGTTTATTTACCTGAATGATGATGTCATGTTTGGGAAGGACGTCTGGCCAGATGATTTTTACAGTCACTCCAAGGGTCAGAAGGTGAGTGTCCAGGAGGAGGGATACTGAGCATCGAATTCACTTAGCAAGTCAGGAGAGTCAACAGTTTTGGAATAAGAAAAGAACAGTGGAAAATCTGCTACCCAGGGTGGGGCGGAGCCGGTAGCTGAGACTGGGCCCGTGCACGGCGCCGCAGTGCTCCAGCCCGGCAGAGCACCCTCCGCTGCGCCCCGCACCATGGCCAGCCTCAACTTGCTGGAGTTGGTGAAGCACAAGACCCAGGCCCTGCAGCAGCAGCGGATGAGGCGGAGGAGCGCGTGCAGGGCCAGCAGCGGGAGCTGGACGGCAAGTGGGAGCAGCGTGAGAAGGCTGAAGGTGATGTGACAGCCCTCAATCGTCACATCCAGCTCGTTGAGGAGGAATTGGACAGGGCTCAGGAGCGACTGGCCACAGCCCTGCAGAAGCTGGAGGAGGCAGAAAAGGCTGCAGACGAGAGCGAGAGAGGAATGAAGGTGATAGAAGACAGGGCCATGAAAGATGAGGAGAAGGTGGAAATTCAGGAGCTGCAGCTGAAGGAGGCCAAGCAGATCGCCGAGGAGGCCGACCACAAATACAAGGAGGTAGCTCGTAAGCTGGTCATCCTGGAAGGCGAGCAGGAGCGGGCAGAGGAGCATGCGGAGGTGTCTGAACTAAAGTGTGGTGACCTGGAAGAAGAACTCAAGAATGTCACTAACAACCTGAAATCACTTGAGGCTGCATCTGAAAAGTATTCTGAAAAGGAAGATAAATATGAAGAAGAAGTTAAACTTTTGTCTGACAAGCTGAAAGAGGCTGAGACCCGTGCTGAATTTGCAGAGAGAACAGTTGCAAAACTGGAAAAGACAATTGATGACCTGGAAGAAAAACTTGCCCAGGCCAAAGAAGAGAACGTGGGCTTACATCAAACACTGGATCAGACACTAAATGAACTTAACTGTATATAACCAAAACAGAAGAGTCTTGCTCCACAGAAGCTCCAGAGCACCGTGTCTTTCTCTTCTCTTGTAAGAAATTTCTTTTGTTATTGCATCTTTGCTTTGCTGAAAATGTCAAGCAAATTATGAATACATGACCACATATTTTGTATCCAAGAAGCTTTGAGCACCAGTTAAATCTAATTTCTTCCTTTTTTCAAATGGCTCCAGCTTTTTCAGCTCTATTGTCTTCCTTAAGTTGCATTAGCCGGGCTCGGTGGCTTAGCCTATAATCCCGCGCCTTGGGAGGCTGAGGTGAGTGGATTGCCTGAGCCCGCGGGTTCGAGACCCGCCTGGGCAACTTGGCGAGACCTCATCTCTACAATAAATCAAAAATTAGCCAGGTGTGGTAGCGCGCACCTATAGTTCCAGCTACTTGGAAGGCTGAGGCGGAAGGATCGCTGGAGCCCAGCAGGTCGAGGCTGCGGTGGCCAGGAGCGGCCACTGCACTCCAGTCTGGGCAACAGAGTGAGACTCCAGCTCAAAAAAAAAAAAAAAGTTGCATTGATTTCTAAGGTTGGCAGGGTATTTCACAGTGAGCGGCTCTCAAGACTGAGGGTATTTAGTTGCTAGAATAGACAGCTGCACACTTCGAGGAACACAGACTCCACAGATCTAGTCAGGGCTCAATTGAACACGCTTTAAAATATAACCTTTGGGATCACTGCTGGTCACACTCCAGGAGGTAGGGACCATCAGATGGCAGGGGGAGTCTATTATGGGTAGCCATAGACCACAGATAGGCTAACCTGATGATCCTGTTATTCTGGCCCTTCTCTGCCATGTGGAACAAACATCCTCTTGAGCAGCGTGAGAAGACTTGAGAAATAGCCAAAATAGGTATTTTCTGGGTAGATCCTTGGTTACTCTCTTCTACATATTTCTTTCATTCTGAAATTGTTCTCAGAGGAACAAGTGTCTTACTCCAATAAGGACCCAAGTCTGCTCTGATACAGGCCATCTACTCCACTAGGAATATGGTGGAGTTCAGTCCTATTCAGGTCAGCCATATCAAAAAGACTACTCTCCATTGGTACATTGAGCAAAACAGTGTTGTCTATTAGCAGAAAGGGCCTCTCTGGCAGAAGACGTTCAAAGTTGGCATTGCTTTATTTTCATACTTCAGGGACATTGCAAATTAAAGATTTACTTCTCTAGGACTTGAATTCCTTTTTCAGGACCAAGTTAATAAAAGACCAAGAAACTCCTGCTTAAACTGGATATGGAGTATTTTGTAGGCCGGGCTGCACATTTTGTCTGTGTTATCATTGTTTTCTCAGTTAACATCTCAGAGCTGAAACATTTCGCATTCCCCAGCAGTGTGGCCAACTCAAGTTTACAGTTCTGTCTAAAAATCCCCGCTTCTAGCTTATCTGAATCCCTGCCCCTCACTCTTTTTTATTAAGCATCACACTACCTGGAAATACACTAGCAAATTGGGCAAACACATAAAATCCACACTTTTCTTTAGATTCTTACAACTGTATCATATGTAATAGTATGATACATTTTGGTCAAATAAATTTTTCTACATTTTGGTCAAATAAATATTTTTTTTTTTCTACATTTTGGTCAAATAAATTTTTACATAAAGTAAAAAAAGAAAAAGAAAGAAAAAAGAAAATCTTCCCTTCATTCTCGCCACCCAGAACCTGCCCTTTATCCCTGACACTACAGATACTCTACTACAGCAACAGCTGAAAGAGCAAAATCATCGGGAAACACAACGTTGCGGCTAGGATGTCAGCAGAGTGACCATGATGGAAAGTCAGCTCACATTAGTGCTCCCAGCTAAGAGTGAGGCTTCAGTGTGTCACACTCTGGCCGTGTGAGTGGCGGGATGGAGAAAGGGTCAAGACCGCAGACAGGGACCTCCTATTCAGGGTGAGCCCAGGCAGCAGTGACCTCTGTGGTTTCTGTCTGCATAGTGGGGAAATTACAGGTGCCCCAGGAGTGTTGTGAGAAGGGTTTCCTTAGAGACCTGTCACCAGAAGCTTGTAAGTGATGGAACTTTGTAACTCAAGTGCTCCTAGCACAGAACTGCTCTGTTGTGATGCCACCCCATGGGGTCTATCCTGTTTCCTGCTCACATGTGTCCTGTGTGCCAGACTATAAGGCTGTGATGTTGAGCTCATGGTTTACTGGGAGACACATCAAATCAGGGACTGTGTGCAGTGCTTTCTCTGTGGGGAGTGGGCATGGGAGGCCTCATCGGATGGGACGGGAGAAACATCTGAATTGTGTGCTGTGAAGAACAAGAAGGGTTACTTTAGACGAGGAAAGACAGTCCAAATAGATGGAGTATGCAAAGATCCAGAGACTCTAAAAGAGTAATATATTAGCGATTTTTTTGTTTTGAGTAGGAGTCTCACTCTTTGCCAGGCTGGAGTGTGGTGGCATGCTTATGGGCACTGTACCCTTGACCTGCTGAGGTCAAGTGATCCTTCCATCTCAGTCTTCTAAGTCGCAGGAACCATAGGCACACACCACCACGCATGGCTGATTTTTTGATTTATTATAGAGTTGCGGTCTTGCCAAGTTGCCCAGGCTGGTCTCGAACCCCTGAACTCAGACAATCCTCTTGCCTTTGCTTCCCAAAGTGCTGAGATTACAAGTATGAGCCACTGCTCCTGGCCTGTATTAGCAATTTTAATTTAAGAAGTAACTGCATCCTGGTCAGAACCCTAAGTGTCCATATCATAAGAAATAAAATAAGTGGGACCTCATCAAACTGATGAGTTTCTGCAAAGCAAAAGAAACCATCAAGAGAGCAGGGAGACAGCCCACAGAATGGGAGAGATTATTTGCCAACTGTATATCTGACAAAGGCTTAACATCTAGGATCTACAAGGAACTCAAATGTGCTGAAAGGAAAAAAACAAACGGCCCCATTAAAAAGTGGACAAAAGACATGAATAGATACTTGTCAAAAGAAGAAATATGGGCAGCCAATAGACACATGAAAAAGTGCTCAGCCTCACTGATCATCAGAGAAATGCAAATCAAAACCACATTGAGATACCAATAAGAATGGCCATCATTAACAAAACAATAAAAGGTACTGGTGAGGATGCGGAGAAAAAGAAACACTTCTACACTGCTGGTGGGAATGCAAACTGTACAACCTCTCTGGAAAACAGTCTGGAGATTTCTGAAAGCTAGAAGTTGACCTTCCACATGTCCCAGCAATCCCCCTACTGGGAATATACCCAGAGGAATGCAAATCATTCTATAAAAAAGATATGTGGCACACGCATGTTTATTGCAGCTCTGTTCACAGTAGCAGAACCATGGAACCAACCATGCTGCCCATCAAACTTGGACTGGATTTGAAAAATGTACATATACACAATGGAATATTATGTAGCCATAAAGAAGGACAAATGTGGACTCTGCAGCAACTTGAATCAACAAGGGTACTTGCATAATGAACATTTGTATACCTAACCCTGAACTGTACCCTCATCTTTAAAAAAAAAAAAGAACTGCATACCAAATCACTCATTTTGAGAGCAAGGGCATGCACACCTCAGAATGCTTGCTGATTTATTCACATAGGGCCTCATGCAGGGACAGGGTCTGAGGCTTCACCTGCTGCTGCTCTCAGCCCGGAGATGAGGTGATGTACAAGACATCATGAGCTACTGAGAGTTGGCACCAAGCTGCAGTGACTGGGCATGCTCTCCACCTGCTTGGACACGTGTGGTACTCATAATTAGGTCTGACCTGATGCTGCTTTATTCCAGAGTAAGTTGTAAGACCATGTTGCGAGAGACTAATTCATGAGCTCAGTCTCTGTCTGCTCTCCTCAAGTAACGGAAGAAAGCAAATGTGTTCAGTAAAGACTGTCACCTCGGCAGGATTTGGAAGTCGACTATAGGCACAGGCAGATTTAGAGCAAAGTAGGTGTAGACAGTCTGCTCTGGGAAGGGGTAACCTTTCTAGCGATGCAATTTTTTTTTACAAAGATAATCCTAAATCAAGAATAAAATGTGCCAGAAACCAGAATTGCTTTCTTTTCTCATTGGTTTCCTTGTAGGTTTATCTGACATGGCCTGTGCCCAACTGTGCCGAGGGCTGCCCGGGCTCCTGGATTAAAGATGGCTATTGTGACAAGGCCTGCAACAACTCAGCCTGCGACTGGGATGGTGGGGACTGCTCGGGTGAGAATGAGCTCAGATGTAACTTGTTCGTGTTGACAGAATGTCTTTGTCCTTAATTGCTGAGTTTGTGCCGTAGGCCTAGGCATTCTTCATGGACTGAAACAGTAATCCATACACTCTTTAGAGGTGGTGGCTAGTGGCTGGTGTTCCCACGTGGCCCAGTTTACTCACGTTACTCATTGTTGAGGGCTTTTCCTTATGTTGACCTGGCATTGAAAACGTCTTAATACGTAAAGTATGAAAATCTGGGTTATGCTCAATTAGGTAAAGTTAAGAGCAAGAGCTCTTCTGTCTGGCCCTTCCAGGAGCCCTCAGCCGGTAGCTTTCAGCACATGGCGACAGGGCAGGGATGACTAGAGATGCAGAAAACAGTGTCTTCTGTCCTCAGCGACTCTTCCCTTCTCTCACTTTCTTATCTTTGGGCTTGTTGGAAATAGCAATTTTTGGCTGGGCACGGTGGCTCAACCTGTAATCTCTGTACTTTGGGAGGCCGAGGTGAGAGAATTGCCTGAGCCCTTGGGTTTGAGACCCGCCTGGGCAACTTGGCGAGACCTCGTCTCTACAATAAATCAAAAAATAAACTGGGCGTGGTGGTGTGCAT